ACTAGTTGTTCGGCGAGAGGCCGAATCCAGTGGCCGTCAGGGTTATAGGCGAAGCAATTGTTATGAATGAGCTGAATGTCGTGTTCGAACTCTGTCACATTCCGATACTGAAGAGATATTGTGTTGTCAATTACTACCCATCAATTACTACCATGCGCGTGCAAGTGGTCTAGCTTACGATTTTTTGTGTACATCTTTGGGATATGAGGTTGAGGTACATGGGTGTCTTAATAATGCTGTAATAATTAGGTGCGTCATTTTCTTGAACTTTTTCCCAGAACCAGAGAAATTTTTTGTCCGGCTTTTTCAGACCGGCAACTAAGCGTCCTAGATTGTTATTGAGCTCTTCAGCAGCTTGGTCGGGTGTGCCTGCGAAATGGACGGGCGTTAGATCAGTGCCGCTTTCGAAGCGTTCCTGTAAAAGGCGTTGTTGGCGCGGTGTAAGTCGGATGCTGGAAACGGGTAGACATCCGCGTGTCTCGCGAGACATGAGTGAGTTCTCGTCGATGCCTGGTTCATCAGAGCCTAGATCGGGTCCGTCATCAGCTTTAGCCTTCTTGGAGCGAGAAGTGGTGGTGCGTTCAGCGGCTACAGTGGTTGAACGCTCTACACTCACTTGGGCTGGGCGTTCCACATTTATCTGGGTAGTGAGTTCCACACCACCCACGGCAGGAGCCGGGGCTGGACCGGGTCGGGAGTCATGGCTGGGTGTTGGACGGGGTGTTGGTCCAATGATTTTCTTAACGATACTGGCATCCGTGCGCGGAAGTTGCACACGCGGTCGTTTGGGTGTGGTGGCTGAGGACCCCCGTTTCACAACCGAGGAACCAGCCAAGCTGGTTTCCGTAGGTGAGTGCTTGTTAAACTTAAGTTGTAATCTATCTCTACGCCATTTGAGGAATTTGGTAATATTTTTCGCACCATATATTAATATAACCTTGTCGCGGTTCACGACCCGTGGACCTCCAGCGAGATTTGGTGCCCGACGAACCCAACGAAGACACGGCACTCCGGCACCTTCCTTACGTTCCAGGGCGGTTCGTACGTCTCCTTCAGGAACCTTCTTTAACCATGCATTCATGGCTGCCGCAACAATTGGGTTGGTTGCCGGAAACACAAACTTATCTCCTGAGCCTCGCATCTTTTGTATCTCTTTCCCAAACTTGTCCGCCTCCTCCTTGTATAGCAAGCCTAGTGGTGGCCCAGCGCCCAATCGCGTATCCGGTGCCATAACCGATTCCAGCGACCAAACTAGGTCGCGTAACTGCTGATCCGTGCATCGTCCATCTTCCTCCTCCCCCTTGATGCTCATCATCGCGGCATTCCCTCCTGTCACACTCCCCCCAATAACACTCCCCCCAGTAGCACTCCCCCCAGTAGCATTTCCTCCAATACTACCATTGGCGTTTGAGGAGACCGCGGGCAAACCTACATCTTCGAGAAAACTCATCTCCAAATCGTTCTGGTCCAACTTTGGATGTGCTGCCTCCTCGAATATGTCCGTCAGGTCCCTCGGTGGGTCTTCCAATACTGTATCTATCTGTAACGTGTTCCGCTGACGGTTTATAATATCGTTAATTCGCGCATTGTAGTCACCGGGATCCAACCGACCAGCTTGATTTTGTAAAGCAGGCAATGACCCTCGAGAGTTGATCATGAAATGACAGCGATATGCACAGTTCACCAACTCGCTTCTAGCCATAGTTGCAATTACGTTTGGTGATAACCCTGTTCGAAGGAGTGAAGTTTGTAACGCCAGAGAGTTCGTTTCCTGGATGACATTTCGCTTAGCCTCCTCAAAGATTACAAATCGTGTAGGGTCCACCCCATAACGAGTTATTGGCAACTGTCGATGTGAATCTGGAATGAACTTTGTCATAACCGGAATCAGGCTATCTCGGGCGGCGGCTGTGCCTACATCTTCTTTCAGGAAACACACCTCCTCACCACGGCCAAGCGAATGGTCAAATATCGAGCCAAGGAGGAATTGGGCATTTTTCTTCGCTGTCACATCCTGAAATGCCTTCCATTGGTTCCATGGAGCAAAAACTAAGAGTTCTTCAACGACACGTGCGACAATTCCTAATTGCAAAGTAAAACCGGGATGTAATCCACGGAACGGTGGTGGTAATGTAAACAACGTTGTACCGGCGTCACGCTCATCTTCTGGCAATTTGGCATGTTCTAAATACTTGTCCCAAATAGCATATGCACGTGCCCATTGCGCGTCGCACACGAAATCTCGTTGTTGTAAGATACTACGAGCCACAGCTAATCGATCGAAGTGTCGTAGAAATCGGATGCCGCTGAAGACGAGTTGTGCAGCTCCAAGTTGGGCGGCAATGATCCCGCAAATTTGTTCAGGAGTAATTAATTTTTGAATGACCTCCTCCGCTACAATCTTTACAGTAGCTCCGATGACTAAGTTCGAGGTCATCGTTGATAACCCACTGATGGTCGTTTCGCCGGCGTTTGTCTTTTTTAACGGCTGGAGGATTTTTTGAATACCCGGGTTATCAAAGACGCCCTGAAACCATTTGAGACAACGGGTCTTGTTAGCGGTCATATCCGGAACGCCACAGTTCGCTTGACGTAGGGCGTAGGCCTCGAGCCAAAGTTTGCGCCACTCATTGATACGTTTGCCATCGGGAGATGGGATCTCGGCGTCGGGTGCGTGTTGGCCGACTACGTACACCCCCATGCGCGCGAATGAATCCATGGCCATCGCCACGCGTTCACGGACGCCATATTTTTCGCGCAATTGTTCACGCACATCTTGCGAACGGGGGTCAGAAGTTTCGTACTGACAACCGTAATATAGTGGTCGTAATGTAACCTTTATGCGAGGATTGTTAGCGTTGTAAGAGGCGGTACGGACGAGTAGGAAATCGGTGAGACGGTAGTCAAGGTGATGGTCTAGTGTGCGGCTACCTTCCCGCACACTTTTTGGACGTTTAGAACGAAACAATTTGTCGCGCCATTGTTCGGGAGTGGGCAATGGTTTACGTGGGTCGACAGGATGGACCATACAGACGCCGACATAGACAGAGGTTTTGAAGATGACGGTACCATGACTCGGCTTGATGCGCATGGGACAGCCGAAGAGATAGAAGGGTCGATCTCCAAGTATTTTGAGGTTGCCATATGGGCCCAATCGGCCGGCGAGTTTGGCCTCCGTTTGCGCGATGGAAGCAAAAGGTTCCTTCCCAGGACGGTAGAAACGCACCATCTTCGCAACCATGCCGGGCAGAGGCAACATGGCCGGCGTAGTCGCATGCTCCACCACCACTAGGGGACACCATTCGGCAATGCTCAAAGACTCCACATCCACCAACACTTCACTCGGGTGCACTGCGCTACTCGACGATAACCGCACGTTATACTCCGTTAATGCCGGCGACTGTCTCGGATACTGAACCGTCCATGTACCCCACAGTGGCGAATTACCCGCCGTGTTCGCATCCACTGTGTCCGGTAATGACAATGTTTCGATACGCGCCTTCGCAATCTTGCTCTTCTGAAAAGCAGAACGCGCCACACCCGAAGGATGCACAAGTGTATATGCCACACCCTCTGCCTGGAAGTACTTAGCGTGATACAAACCAGTCCGGAAATCCGGCCGGAAATGTCGGACTAACGTCACCGCACTTGACTTAGGAATCGCTGTCGGGAACGACCACGCGATTGGCGCATGTATCAAAGCCTTCGCCTTACCGCCTGCCACGTCACGCCGACTCGCTCCCATCCCACGATTTATCGCCTTGTAAGGATCCATCCCCAAGTACACCTCATCTGGAATCGGCGTTAACCATTGCAACGCAATCTCCGTCATCGCCTCCGCTCCCGCCAGACTTGCGGCGCCGCCCGGAGCGCCATGAGGGGGCATCAGTCCGGGCGACCCGAGCAGCGCGCGGCTCGATACGGCCCCGTGTGCCATGCCGCCTTGGGGCAGCGCCCCCGGAGGCATGGCCCCGGGGGGCAAACCCCCAGGGGGCATGGCCCCCGGGGGCAGGAGCATGTGAGGAGGACGGTGGCGGCTGCCTGGGTCGGTGGGCCCGTCAACCAAGTGCAGGAGAGGGTCAGTAATGTGCTTATGGGTTTGGAGCCAGACGACGATTTCGTGTCTACTCGCCGCGAATGGAGAGGAGGCGACGGCGGTGGCCATGCGCGTTATGAGAGACCACTTCTGATGGTTTCTTCGGAGGTCGGTGTCGCCGGGTGTGCTGAGAATCTCGCCCCACGTTTGCCAGAGCGCATAATCACGCAAAAGACGTTCGGTGATGAATTTGCAGAGCTGTAGCATGTTCACGGCGTCGGGGTTCTTGACAGGTAAAGGCTCCTCGTTGGGTGCCTTCTTGATGCGTTTGTGCGGCGGTGGTACGGGGGCAGCGCGACCGGGGGCGCTTGGAGGTTCGGTTCGCGAGACGTAGCGGGCGACGAGGGGAAGCAGTGTTTGGTAGGCGTGCAGGGGTAGCACTTGTTTGGCTGCCAGATCTTCCGCGCTCACTTGTACACTGTTCATGTCCATCACTAAACTCCGCAATAGTGGCGGTGCTGGGTCTAAAATCTTCTGGACGGAGTAAACGCGCCGCCCTCCTGCCGGCTCCGTCAACGTGTGCCGTAGGATCGCCATAGCCGTCTCCACCGCGTCCCGTTCGCTCACTTCTTCTTGGATGGTGTCCAGTGCTTGTGCCAAGAAACTTTTGTCGGAACCGGAAGCGGGATTCGAGCCTGCGCCTGAGCCGTCACCGGAGGGACCCAAACCTCCCTCGTTGCCGCCACCTGACCCCTCCCCTTCGCCCACACCGGGGCGACCAAAAGCGGCTGCAAAGGCATCGTCGGGACCCAGAACAGGTTCCTGAGGGTTGTACGCCTCGCGGAGGGCTTCATACTGCAGACAAGAGACCTCACCTCGACTCATGCCGACACTACCAGGCACCACGCTCCGTGCGCGGCAAGCCCAACCAAGCGTCTCAGCCGCGAAGCTTTCCTCAGCCGGACGCACCTGCACAGCCGCCTTATAACGCTCCTCTACTCCCAACACCTCCTCCGTACCACCAGCAACCGTACCCCAGAACAACGCGTCCACACGCGGCTTCTGAGACGCCGCCTCACGGCGTCGAACCGGTGCCGAACATTCCAATGGCGCATCGAACGCATCTTCAAACGCGCGCCATGAACCCGCCTCCCACGGCTCCTCCACCGCCGTGGAACCGCGCGATCGCACACGCTCCGCCGGTACCACAAACTCGACACTCGGCCCCTCCTCCAACGGCGGTGTTGCCGCCTCGCCACGACCACCACCCGAACCTGCGCCGTGACCACTGGACCCTAGACCACCACTAGGACCTAGACCACCAGTAGGACCTAGACGGCCCATGTGATATGGTCCCAGACGGCCTAGGTGGTCTGCGCCGGGGTCCTCGAGAGTTTCTTCGGAGCTGCCGGCGCCATGTTGGTCGCCGGCGAGGGCGCCGTCCGCGAGGACCTGGACGGTCCCCCGGAAAGCGGCGCGCGGCACGTCGGGCGCCAGGTCGCCACCTGCGGCCGCGTCGCCGCCCGCCGACGACGAACGACCCGAAGCACCGTCGTCTGTCCGCGCTGCCGCTCCCGCCGCCGCTTCCGCCGGCGCCGGCATGCGCACGTTCAACGCCGCCGCGCGCTTCGCGCTCTCCACGATCCGCTGCACCACCGCATTCGCGCCGAACACCTGTTGCTCCAAGATGCCCTGCACCACAATCGGGTACAGATGCTGCAACACATCGCTGACGGGGGGGGAGGGGGGAGGGTCACACCCGTTCGTGTGGAAGTGACACACACATGCGAAAGTGACGATTGGGACGAACACACGCTTGGGGACTGGGGTGAACACACGCTTGGGGACTGGAGTGAACACGCGTTTAAGAAAGCCGCATTCCCTTGGGGGAACTCGTGGAGGGTAAGGAAACAAATGTCGGGACGGAAATGCTCGAGGCGTCGAAAGAAGGTTAGTTCCGGGCCGGGATCAGCTTTGGGTCGGGATAGATAGGTCGAAAAAGCAGCGTACCTCTAGAGGGGGCCAGGTCTTGGGGTTGCTGGTGTTGCTTTCAAGAGGCCTCCGGCGGCGCTTGCGCTCCATAAATAAAATGTGGCCTTCGGAGAGGCTGATGCAGGTAGGAGCGGCCATGGACGCTCTGCTGCCCTTGCTCAAGAAGCTGCCGGGCATCTCCCCCCAGAAGGCGACGCTTACTCTTCGGGTGTGGGGATTGTTTCAGCAGCTTTACGGGCACCCGTATCCATGGGACGCGCGCGGCACCTTGATTGATTATGAGTCGCCTGCAAACGACCAACTCTTTGAAGAGTGCGCCTGTACCCTGTTCCACACACACTTGTTACTTTGTGCACACACTTGTTACTTTGTGCACACACACTTTTGTGGTGTGTGCACACATGTTGTCACGCGTGATAAGTGTGCTTGCGCGATGCCCGTCTGATCAGTCTTCGGTACTTTTGGGTGATGGCTATGTCTATATATCCAGAGGAGTCGTTGAAGCCTTATTTTGGAGAGAGCATAATGGTAGGTCGATGCCTACTGTTAGCGCACTTCCCTCAGTTACGGATGTTGATGCATAATTTTGAAGGCGGTGGGTTACCATGGCACGCATTGTGCGATGACCCGGTGCAGCGGAGACTGGTATTGATTGTCCGGGGTAGTGTAGATGCATCTGATTGGTTCATAAATCTGTCGGTGAAATTGACGGATCGAGAGGCGCATGGAGGTTACTGGCATTGCTGTGGTTTGATGCTCACTTCGCTACGCCCGTTGATCGATGAGTTCATGACGGCCCATCCCGATTACGAACTGCACGTCACCGGCCACTCGCTCGGAGCCGGACTCGCCGCCATGCTGGCCATCTCTCTGAAACTACACTACCCCGACGTAAAAGGCTGGGCCTACGCCTGCCCACGGTGCATCGGGAAAGAGCTAGCCGAACAATCAACCAACTACATAACGTCTGTAGTCTACGGCAGGGACTGCGTACCTCGACTCGCCGTGCACACTATACATCACATATTCGACGTACTTCAGGAAACCGCGGACATGGACGATCTTGAACTTCTCGGACTCGAGAATGTCACGCGAATCATACCACTCTCCAGCAATGCTGATGACACGCCAGTACCGTCTGACCCAGGACTTCATGAAGCGGAGAATGACACGCCGTATAAGAGGACGAGCCTAAGAGCCGAATATGTAGACGGCGAATATGTAGACGGCGAGCATGTAGACGGCGAATGGAATCCTCCCGTGAGCCGCCGGTTGGGGATGGCTGAGAGTGGTGTTCCTTCCGATGATGACGTTCCTCCTCGGGATGATCTTCTTCCTCTGTGGCAATCGGATCTTCCAGGCCACTCGTCTGCCGACGTGCTGCATAGCAACGGACCAAGTGGTTCGGAACAGCTTGGGGAAGATGAGTGCACGGAGGATTCAAGAGAAGAGACTCATCAGAACGTGTTTGATGTCCTGTCGCTCAATGAGCTGGAAAGGAGACTGTCTCGGAGGGCGGAGATATGTAATAGAATTTTTCTGTTGGCCACGAAAGATGTAGTTCAGGACCTGATAGCCGGGATCCGAAGGTCCTATATAGATCCTGGACGGCCTAAGAAAAAGTCTCTCAGCTTTGCTGAGTTGCGCAGATCCCGAAATTGGGATGGTTTTAAGTCGACCCGGTCTCTTGATAAAGTCGTTGTTTCTGATCTCGTAATGTCGGATAGGGTCTGCTCCAGCACTGATAGATCTTATGTCAATAGGACTGGCTGGGTGGCGGAGGGCGTTAATACGCAGGTGGGTCGGCCTGACAAGTTTATGGCAATGGCTTTTGACAAGGATGAACAGGTAACCATTTCTGGATCGGACAGCCCCCCTGCGGAAGATAGGCATGTTGAAATGACCAAGGGACCTGTCGGCTTGCCGACAGGCATAAATACACATCTGGATGGAAACCTGGATGGAAACCTGGACGGAAGCTTCGACGGAAGCTTTGACAAAGAGGGGCTACTGGATACTCAAAAAGAAAATCAATCCTTCTTCACGACGGAGGTGGACCGAGGGGGGACGAGCAGCAGTACACAGCTGGACCTTTCGGAACGGGGCCATGGATTGTCCACAGTCTCGTGGAAAGTTGCCGACAGCTCTCGTCCGAAAATTTCGTTGCAAGCGAATCTTCCTTTTCACCACTCGCATCTGACCGAATTGCCGGAGTTCCATTCAGTGAGGTCACGAGGTTGCACTCCAAATGACCTGGCACAGTCTGCTCGGTGCTACCGGTTCACTCGCCAGTTTTCGAAAGAGCAGCCGAGCTCATTTGACCCGTTGTTTACTCCCCGTAGTTCTTTGGGCAATTTGAGCGAGGACCCGGGTTCCGTATTTCGAACAGGCACATCTGACACGTTCGGCTTTAGTGTGGAAGCAACTGCCACGGAAGCAACTGCCACGGAAGCAACTGCCACGGAAGCAACTGCCACGGAAGCAACTGGTGTGGGCACAGCCGGTGTGGGCACAGCCGGTGTGGGCACAGCCGGTGTGGGCACAGCCGGTGTGGGCACAGCCGGTGAAGGCACAGCCGGTGAAGGCACAGCCGGTGAAGGCACAGCCGGTGAAGGCACAGCCGGTGAAGGCCCAGGTTTCGATCGAGACACAGAATCTGGCATGGAGTATGAACATAGCAGCGGCGTAGA